AAATGTCGAGGACTCTGTTACAGTTGCAGTACATGGAAAATTGCATATTGTTGCACAGATTGCTTGATTTTGAGCAAGACACTTCTCTTTCAGATTCATTGAAGATTCCAGCTATTGCTTCTCATTGAATATGGAAATTCTTGCATCTGTCTTAGCACTCTAGACTTTCTTCATAGGGAGTGCTGCTGTTGACAGCATGTTGGCAATGTACATCTGTTACCATTGTTTTTATGTCACGTCCGGATGATATCTCTTCAAACAAAGAAATGTTCTTTGCCGGGACTTTGGAGCAGATAGAAGTGATTTAAGGAAGATTCTATGAAATGGCTTGTAGTTGGACTCTACTTCCAGTTTGTCTCTCCCAAACAAATATTCATCAAAAAACTCACAAGCAAAGAGAATAACTAGGCACACTTTCTTAATCTGAGCATTACATTGTATTTGGTTTGTATTAACACACTGAATGGAAATGAAATTGGTTGTCTTTGCTGCATATAGGTTGCTCCAAGTCCTGTCTCACTGGCATTGTACTGCATGGCAACTTCATCATGGTCCCTCAACCATGGCTTTGTCATCACTAGTTGGTTAATTCTAGCAAAAGTTGTATCTTGTTCTTGGTCCCAATACCACTACGTGTCCTTCACAGTGAGCTTACACAGAGACTCACACTCCAAATTAGACAATGACAAAAATAGGCAAAAACCTGCTAGAAATCCAACAAGTCATTGCAATTCCTTCACATCTATTGATTGCTGCATTTCTACTAGAGCTCTACCTTGAGTGGATCAAAGAGAATTCCTCTTGCTGTCAGTACATGACCAATGTGCCTAACTTTAGTCATCTTCAACTGCTTCATCTTTCTTTTCAGCTTCAGATTCATCCAGGGAGCTCTCTCTAACAGCCACATTATATTCTGATTGTGGTGTGTAATAGATTCTTCCATGTCTTGACACACATAGACCAACAGATCATCCAGAATAGCTTCAACCCTGGAAGAATCACTGTCTACCTTATGCTATCTGCATCAATAGTCTTCTAGAGCAGTGGAAATGTCAAATATCATGGACAACCACCTGTATCTCCCAAATGGTATCTAGAAAATTGTTTAGAAAGGGCAATTCATCAAACTTCAATTGCCAGTAGTCATTCTTCATATCAAGAGTAATAAAGATCATTGCCTTGGCAATTTATGGCTATGTTTCTTTGATGGTTAGTTTGGGGTAGTGAGCTGTCTTCAAAGCTTTATTGAGGTCCCTTGGATCGTCAATTTTTCAGGCTTCTGCACTGCTGACAATCTGCTAATCCATTCCTTAGGAGGTGTCACTTCATTGATTGCTCCCTTCTTTTGCAGCTCCTCTATCTCGTCTCCCAGGCCAAACTTGAGGCGAGCTGGAACTCTCCTCAACAGATACTGAGTTGGTCTCAGACTCTGAGCCACTCAAATTTAAATTTATCAGGAAAATATCCATAATGTGTAAAAACACCTTCGTGGTCTTCAAGGATCTGTTCAACAATCAATGGCTTAGTGGTCTAAGAAGTGCTGCAAATTTAGGATTAGGGTTTAGAGTTACTAATCCAAGCTTTGGGCTTGCTTCAGCTGAGGCGAATGGATTTTGCTTAATGTCTACAATCAGAACTCCAGATCTCCATTGTTCCCATTATAGCGGGCTCTCAGTTTCGTTTGTTCTCTAGGCATCAGGATCATTACACCATATGGCCTCAACCCGGCTTTCAATAGATCCATTTTCTGGTTACCATCTTCAACGAGTTTACACAGGTCTGTAAATTTAACAATGCACAAAGCACCAGTGTCTATCTGATACCTCACATTAACTCGATGCTCTCCTTCTAAAGTCATTGTTCTAACAGTTGCAAGCCATTTATCTCCTTTAGACCTGACACTGCCAACCTGCATGGTGCAAAATGGTCCATCAGTCTAATCAGGTGACATCTCTCCAGCAGCCATCTTTATAGGCTTGCTTTGCATTTTTCAAGCTAAACACTTGTATGCAGAGTTGCTGGAAAAGCTCAGCAGGTCTGGCAGCATCTGTGGAGGAGAAAACAGAGTTAACGTTTTGGGTCCAGTGACCCTTACTCAGAACTTCCAGCAACTTTGTTTTCGTTCCTGATTTACAGCATCTGCAGTTCTTTTGGTTTTTATTGTATGCAGAGATTCAGCTTCTTGCAATGAGAGCAGTATCTCTCTCCTACTGAACCCCCATCCCCACTCTGAGACTAATTTTCTCCCACCTCATTAGTCATGCCCTCACAGCAGCATCTCTTATGCCAGCACAATCCTATCTCCAATTAGATCATTTTTCCATACACAGGATCCAGCTAGATATATCAGTACAGCATATACTGATCAATAGTCACTCTCTTCACTTGAACTCTGATGTTGGACACATACCATTCTAAGTAACATTAATATGGAGCTTAAAGTATACCTTCAAAGTCTTTTAAAACCCTGCTGCCTGTTTTATCTGTTCCTCAGTGAGTCGTGGATACAATACAGCTTGTAGTACTCTCTCTCCAGCACTAATAGCATGGCTGTCACACTTACTTACTCAAGTTTTGTAATTAGTTCAGTAGCTATTCCATGGTTTTATCACTGAGTGTGGAAACATTCCCAGTTTTGCCTCATATCTGCAGTCATTTCCACTGCAGCAGAGAATGGGGAATGGACCATTAGTTTGACTCATCAGTAATTTGAAGTCAGAGAGTGTATTTTTTGTTGCATCTTCCTTGATGTTTCTTTCAACAACTGGCACATGAAGACGCCCAAATGGTGTGTGTGTGTGTCTGTGTGTCTGTGTGTGTGTGTGTGTGTGTGTGTGTGTGTGTGTGTGTGTGTGTGTGTGTGTGTGTGTGTGTGTGTGGTGTGTGCCTCTATGTGTGTGTGTACGCACTCCTGTGTGCATGTGCGTGTGTGTGTGCACGCTTCTGTATGAGTGTGTGCGTGTGTGTGTGCCTCTGTGTGTGTGTACGCACGCCTGTGTGCATGTGTGTGTGTGTGCGCCTCTGTATGTGTGTATGTGTGTGTGCGTGTGAGAGAGAGAGAGACAGAAAGATGGCATGGTGGGGAACAGAGAGCCACCAAATCACTAACTATATCCTTATGGTTAGTGGGAGGTAAAGAGTATGGGGGTGTTGGGAATATTTTAATCATATGGAATTATCCTGTATTAACAAATGCTTTTTATAGCTAAAGATAAAAAAGATAGGTATAATCGTCTAATAAGAGATGAGCTTAGAAATGGTTATTTTAGCACTACTGAGGAGTTAACTGCATATTTCTTAATTCTCTGAGTTACCAAGCATGATAGTTAATTCCTCATTTTACTGTTGTGCTGGAGCTGCAGTAAATTACTCACACAGCAGGCCATTCAATAAAGCAGCAGAATCAATAATCTGAACTGGCAGCACAAACGTCAATAATGAGCCGTTCAAACAGCTGGAATTGAGCTCAAAGCCGAGGTAATTAAAACTCAGCAATATTCATGAAGGATGGAATATTGTGGCCCAAGGGAAGCCAGATATGCTGACAAAATGGGGAAAAGTCTGGAGGAAAAAACTGGGAAGAAGAACGTACCTTACAGGATTGATAGACATCCTACTTATGAGAAACAGAGTACCTGTGCAGTAGGCATGACAGGTAGGAAGTCAGAATAAAGATTTTAGGCCTGAAGAAATCTGCTTACGTGTTAATATATCACAAGCACCTGCCACAAGTTATTACATAAGAAGATTACCTCTGCAGGAATTTCAATCTGTTCATCCTAGAAGAAATGTTGCACTAAGGATAGAATGCCCACATACAGAGCTGGCACCCAGCAACACCTGGGCAGTGAATGCTTGACATGAATGGAGAAATTTTGCATGGTTATAATTATGAAGGATATATGGCAACCCACGTGCACAGCAAGAATAATTAGACTCTTCTCTGAGGATCATGCATCTTAAATTTATAGTGAGCTATTTTCCCTGAAGCTGTGCATATCTATAACATCATCCCGCCTCTTGCTGCAATATCTGCACATTTTTCTTTGTTTGCTAGGTGGCTGTTGACGTTGTCCAGATATAGGAAATGTCCTTGACACCATTGAGATCTTTCTCTACCTTTCACATCGTTTGATGGACAGGTGAAGCCAGTTACATATGAGGGTCAATAGTACATCACAAAATGCAATTTATTATCATTTTAATATGTTCACATTCCACATAAATTATTCTGTTGACAATAATAGATTTTAATTATCTTAATAAAGATAACCTAGACACAATTAAGTGAATGAGAACCACGCACAATACAGCTCTCTTAAAATTACTGGTTTTAAATCCAGGCACAAGGACAGATGCTGATAACTATTCTGGACTATCAAGTAGACTACTAGTGGATACTGCTTATTTGTATTCTTTTTTACTACTATGCAGCATAAATTTTGGATTAGAAAATATTGTACTCTCTTTTTGTTTTATTTATTTTCTGCTTCCAATTATTATTTTCCATCTTTACCTGCATTTAGTTTTTGATGTGTTGAGGTCAATTGATTTGCAAAAGTGATGTATTCAGTTAATTTTAACTTAGCTTTTTCTATTTAACGTGATATCGTAGAGTCCCTACAGTGTGGAAGCAGGCTACTTGGCCCATTGAGTCCATGTTGATCTTCCGAGGAGCATCCCACCCAGACACACCACCCCCCTACCCTATCCTCATAACCCTGCATTGCCCATGGCTAATCCACCTAAACTGCACACCTTTGGACTTTGGGAGAAAACCAAAACACCCAGAAGAAACCCACACAGACACAGGGAAACTCCACACAGACAGTTGTCCAAGAGTAGAACCAAACCCGGGTCCCTGGTGCTGTGAGGCAGCAGTGCTAATCGCTAGGCTACAATGCCGTGTGTAACTAATGGGCCCAGAACTTGCACAATGGACCGAATAGCTTCGTACTCTGCTGTATCATTTTTTCAATCATTCTACAGTAGGTACTTACTTTCTGTCCAAGCATTCCAGGAAGACCCATAACACCCTGAAATTTAAAGATGTTCAGAAGGTCAATAACTTTGCCAGAGAAATTTTCCACATTGACTGTTCTATTTTTCAAGATAAGGCTCATCCCGTACTTTATAATCTCAGTATAACAAAATACAGTAAATAATATATGTAAGGTATGACATAATCTACACTATAGATTAGAAGAAAATTGCTCTTACCATTTCTCCTTTGATTCCTTGTTGACCCTTTTCACCTCTTATCCCCTGTAGAAAGCATACTTTGTAAGAATGCATTATTTTTCACATTTTAACCTGTCATTTTTGGAGCATAAATAACTGAAACTAGTTTAAACACAGTGAACATTGTTTATCTTTCTATCTAGGTTTATTCTTCCTCTATCTTGATGGTTCTAACTGTTCTGAGGTACAGTTCGTCCAAGGGCTGTACTGGGCATGCTCCACAGCAGCTGTCATCAATGCTTGCCTCATTCCTGGAAGGAGGGGAATGATCCTAGAAGGAAAGGTTGGACAGGCTGGGCTTATACTCACTGGAGTTTTGAAGAATGAAGGATGATCTTATCGAAACATCTAAGATCCTGAGGAACTTGATAATATAGATACAGGGTGTGGTGGGGGCGCGGGTATCAGTTCCTTTTATTGAAGGGGGTCGCAGTTTAAGAAAAGTTTGAGATGTCTGCCTTGTAAGACAGAGATGATGAGAATTTCTTTATCTCAGCAGGATGTCAGCATTTTGAATTCTCTTCTCAATAAAGCACAGCTCTGTATTTATTCAAGGTAGTGTTAGATTGAGTTTTGATAGGTAAGGAGTCAAGAGCTGGGGGCTGAAGGCTGGAGATGGTGAGCTCAACTTCAGGCACAGCCACTTCAGGCATTATCTTACCAAACAGTGGTACAGACACAAAGAACAGAGTGCCCTAGATTCAGGCATTGTGCTTACTTGGATAGCAAATTCTGTCCTCACTTATCAGTCACTTGCAGCACAGGTAGCTGCACGATAAGGAGGATTAATTATCCTGTCACTATTGTAGGGAGATTGAAATCAATATCAGCAGTATGCTCTAAACAAGGCAGAAAAGAACTAAACCAGCACTGACTAGGGATGAACTTCTTGGTCTATTAGTCTGAGCTACACTGTTTTAACTATGGAGAACCTAAATATTAAGAGTTATAGGATTAGTTCATACATGTTTAGTGATTTACTGACCTTTTCACCTTTATGCCCCATCATACCCTGGAAAATGGAATACGAATGCAATGAATATTCATTTTCAGTCAAGGAATTTCACTGTAAATAGGGTCAAAAGTCTGCAAACTTTATTGTTATTTCATGTGTACTGATGCACAGTTCCATCTTACGAATACAATTAGTAGTCAATTTTGTTAAGTCAGAAACTTGATCTATACTTTGTCAACCTGGCTCTGAAAGACATGTAAATTGGAAAATTCTGCATAATTTTAAAAATCTTTAACTTTTGTGGTGACTCAGTGAAAGATGGAGCTTGATTTTCAGTGTGCTTCCCTAGTGAGGCATGATACTAATAATTTAGTGCTATCTGCAAACATGGATATACAACGCTATTCCATTATCAAAAGTTATTAATATGAATAGAGAAAAGCTGAGGCTTAAATCCAGATTTCTTGCGAGCACCACAATCCGAGTTCCTTCCTATTAAACTAAGTCCCTCTTGTTATATTTAAACAAATGCAAAAAGATTATCTGTGTGCATTTGTTTTACGAGTAATGGCTTCTGCAGAACCTAATATGTTGTTTTGTTGAGGGATTAAACAAACAAGAGGGCTTTGTTACTAATGCTGAAATACTTGCACAATCCTTGATTAAAATATGCTCTATTTTAAAACAATCAAATTCATTTCAGAATCAAAATGGAAACAGAAAACGCTGGAAAAATTCACAGGTCTGCAGCATCTTGTGTTTTTATTTCAGATTTTCAGAATCCATAGTCTATTACTATCATTCCATAAATAAATGGGAATAGCTTCACTTCAGACGATTTTTAAAACCTCTAATATAACCTGCTAGTACTGAAATGCAGATCGATAGTTTCTAACTCAGCTATCATGCTGTTACTGGAAAGAATTTTATCTCCAGTCAGTAAAAATTTCAGCCAAATTCAAATTCTCTTGTATGAGCGGCATTATGGTTCAAGGACACTGAATATACAGGCAATTGGCATCAGCACTGACAGCCACTGTTAGCACAAAACATTCTAAAACTAATGTCCAAACCCTTCCCCCATGTTAAATTGAAATGTTAGGTTATTAATAGTAAGATATCAGGGAGTTATTTGAAAACTGTAAGCTAATCTCAGGGTTCAGATGTCAGTCATAAATGTCTTGAATTGCACTCTCACAATTCATTACATCATCTGAACTCCAAAATTGGATTTCAGCCTTGTGCTGTTTAAGTAACTTAAAATATATGTTATAATTATTAATCATCCGACTTGATTAGCATTATCATATTGAAATAAAATGTTGTCTCATCTTTGTGGATTGTTAATTCTGGCAATTTTTGTTTTAAAAAGTGATTTTGACAGATTACAAAGCTACCCTTTGATTTTGCCAATGACACAGTTTATACAACAACCACGCTCGAGCCAGTTGTATCAATAATTCCTGTGTAGCGCTTTTATGACATCATATTTTAATCAGCTTTCGACGTGCGTGTACATTAAAAAAAAACTTCATTTCCATTTGACTTTAGGAACAAGTTGTCTTTTTCCATTAAGTGCACTATAGATAGATTTCCGCACCATGTGGATGCCATTCAGCTGTATGACAAGTAACTTTAGAGAGAGCTGCTATACCTGTCTCAAAAGAGCAGCTGTACATTAGCTTCATGGGTTTTGACTAAATGAGCATTAATTTCCTCCTAATCCACCTTCCTGAATTAGTTATATAGAAATCACAAAATACTATAATATGTCGGTGGAAGTTCTGGCAAAGATTCAACAGAATGACTCAGAAAATTCACTGGAGTATTTTGACCATTCAAATATGTTCAAGCCCAATTCTAAGATATATTCCCATGTCACATCTCTTTTCCATGATAATAACCGAGACAGTAGATTTTCTGTAAATCACTAATCCTGATTTTGCTCTATGGAATAAAGAACTGAGCAGTCAGTTTGAAATTAAAAGAACTAAATTAGAGTAGGAGTCAGGTACGTAATAGGTTTGTTCTAGTTCTTATTGAAATGTCAGATTATTCTATGATTTGAGTACCTAAAGTATGCAGTCATGAATGCAGCAGTGAGAGAAGCTGCATTTTTAAAAATGCTGTACTTTGAATTAGATATTAAACCTGATCCAGTGATTGAACATAAAAGTGTTCAAAATCCCATAATACTCTTGGAAGAGCAGGGAGATTCCAACACTCCTCCCTTGAGCAACACTTGTTAAGAAATTAATTGATCGTCCTATTAGTTGCATTGTTCTGTACACAAATGGGTGTTTCATTTATCTATGCAACTGTCATCAATGCAGTTTAAAGTGCTCCCTTCTATGTGAACTGCCATGATGTGGTATGGTAATATATAGCTGCAGCTCTCTCTTTTGTTCATTTGTGCAAAATGCAAACTTATTTCCAATTGGAAACAATTGATTGTGAATTATTTTTGCTGCTTTTGTAGGTTTTTTTTTAATCTATCAGTGGAGTGTGAGTGGTCACATTAAATTTGTGTTTGTGTAAGTACTGAGTTCTGGGTGAGGAAGAACTTGTCTGCAAGTATAACCAGAAGTTGTACAATGAGGAAAACCAAATCCACAGCTGAGGTAGCTGCATTTTGCTGTTGTGATACATTAATGCACAACATTGCTGCCATGAGAAGCAATGCTTGATATAGACAATGATCTGCATTGTTGCAATATTGAAACCAGCTATTGTCAGCTTATAATCTTGGTTGGAGACAATATTTTCTGGGGTTAGGATTGGGACCCTGATCTTTACAAGGTCATTTAACAAACACCAGCCGATTCTGAAGATTAGCTGGGACAGCCTTTCCCTCATCATTAGTTCAGCTTCTACTCCGCTGGTACTGCATTGAGTAGAGGTGGCAAGATTTTGACTTGGTTTATTATTGTCACAGTAAAAAGTTTTGTTTTATGTGCAGTACAGGCAGATTATACCATACAAAGTACATAGGGTAATAGAACAGAGCAAAGAATACAATGTTACAGCTGCAGAGAAGGTGCACAGAGAGCGAGATCAACATTAAATTTAAAATTTGAGAAGTCCAGTCAGAAGTCTAGTAACAATGAGGAAGAAGTTGTTCTTGAATCTTTTTGTATGTATATACAAACTTTTATATCTTCTGCCCAAAGGAAGAGGGTGTAAGACAGTATAACCAGGGTGGGAGGGGTCTTTGATGATGTTGCTTGCTTTCCTGAGGCAGTGGGAAGTATAGATGGGACCAATGGACAGGAAGACTGGTTTGCGTGATGGATTGGGCTGTGTTCACAACTCTCTGTAGTTTCTTGTGGTCTTGGGAACAGCAGTTGCCAAACCATGCTGTGATGGTTTCTATGGTGCATCTACAAAAATTTGTAAGAATCCTTGTGGACATGCCAAATTTCCTTAGCCTCCTAGGGAAGTAGAAATGTGTTGTGCTTTTTTTGATCATTGCATTTGTTTGTGCGTTAGGGGCCCTGCTGAAAGCAGGGTAAGTGGGAGACGGGCGGTTGGGTGGCAACCCCACTTCAGCTGTCTGTGGGAATCGGTGCCACATCTTTCAGTGACAAGCTAATTGGTTGTTGCAGGAGTAGCACATGCTTTTACATTGGCTGGCTGACCGCAGGAATTGCCAGCTGAAGGGCCAACAACTCGGTTAACTGTCACTCAGAGATAGTAGGAACTGCCGATGCTGGAGTCTGAGATAACAAGGTGTGGAGCTGGAGGAACACAGCAGGCCAAGCAGCATCAGAGGAGCAGGAAAGCTGACGTTTTGGGTCTGGACCCTTCTTCAGAAATGGGGGAGGTGAAGGGGGCTCTGAAATAAATAGAGAGAGGGCGAGGCGATGATAGAATTTGGATAGAGGAGCAGATAGGTGGAGAGAAGACGGACAGGTCAAGGAGGCGGGGATGAAGCCAGTATAGGTGAGTGTAAGTAGGGAGTTGAGATGAGGATTGGTCAGTTGAGGGAAGATGGACAGGTCAAGGAGGCAGGGATGAGGCTAGTAAGTAGGAAGTAGGGGTGGGGGTTGGTCAGTGAAGTGGGAGGAGCAGATAGGTGGGAGAAAGGATGGACAAGTCAAGGAGGCGGGGACGAGATGGACTGGTCTTGGGATGAGGTCGGGGGTGGGGAGATTTTGAAACTTGTAAAGTCCACCTTCCCCTCCCCCATTTCTTTCCTGTTCCTCTGATACTGCCTGGCCTGCTGTGTTCATCCAGCTCCACACCTTGTTAACTCGGTTAACTCAGTGGGGCCATTGGGAGCAGTGGTCAGTCGTGGAACTGCACGTGGCAGAGTGCCACAGAAGCACACCTCCCTCCCAATGAAGTAAGTGGCTTTGGAGACATAAGTTGCTTTGATGTCTTCATTTCTACTGGGGCTGACCCCCAAAGAGTTCTTAAATAGGAAGGCCCTCCTCTAAACTAGCCCAGACGGTGTATTGGATTAACTTGTATTTTCCTCACAAAGCAGGAAGTCCACTCATTGTAAAATGCCAGAGGGTGGGGGAAGGGGAAGAGGCTTTTAATTCTCCACCATCGACAACAGATGGTTCACATTCCACAATCCCTTGCCATTTTACAGGCCCCACCACAAACCATCAGTCCCAGAGGACTGATAAAATTCCACCCTTTGTTATCTTTAGATGAAATGTCACATAAAACTTTCCTACTGCAGATGATAATCCGGATTTACTGTTATAATGACAATTAGCAAAACCTCATGTACTTTAATGTGTATGTATTTATGGAAATATAAATGAGGCGTTCTGTAACCAAATAAAATCTGCTGTACTAACTTTAATTAAAGTTACAGCTAAACAATTACATAAAGTGAGGGATAGTTTACAGCCGAAATTACATCGACTGATAAGCATTTATTCTACCATTAGCCTAGATTAGGAAAAAGCTAGTCAACATGCTGGAAGGCAAGGCTCTTTCCTTGGGCAACTGTTCACGAATTGATGCTGTGTGTGTAAAGACACTCTGATCCATAGGGAATAAAGCCTTGATTATCGGAAAAGTCGAAGGCAAAAACAATGAGAATTATTGGAGGAACAATCATTTTGGCAGTATCTTACCCGACATTAATTAAAGCTTGTGTCGGATCCTGCACAATCTAGTTCAGTTCCAAACTGCCAGAGACATTTACTTTCTTTTAGTTACTCAATACTGTGCTGAGCATTTCTGCCATTAAGAGGCACACACAGGAGATGCAGATACAAACCTTAGGGCCCATTGGTCCTCTTGCACCTGGCAATCCCATTAATCCTTGATCACCCATTTCACCCTTAAATTAGAAAACAGAAATCAGTCATTCTAATTAACACTAAATTGCTGGACAATATTTCTAAGTAATTTCTATATAAAAAAGTAGAATCATATCGTATTATAGAATCACAGACTTTTACAGTGCAGATGGAAGCCGTTAAACCCATTGTGCCTGTACTGGCTCCCAAAAGAGATACCCAGCTAGTCCCACTCTTTGTGGTTTTTCTTTAGAAAAGAATCTCCAAGTCTTATGATGATGCTGGGAATAGTGGGCCTTGATTTGCAGTGCTCTATCCTGGTGGGTCATAACATAGGAAAGATGATCCTCTGCCTTTAGAGCTTGCATTGGGTGGGTGTGCTGCAACTTCTTCCATCTAGATCCATGATTCCATTCCATCTGACCTTTGGGGTGACCTGGTGCTGCAGGTATTGCTCATTCAGTTGCTGGTGCAGTTGGGGGTGGTGTTCCTTCTACTCTCCGTGTCATCAGAAATAGAAAATGGAGCTTTACTGAAGATTGGCAACAAGGAAGTGGATCTGAAGGTGTCTGATGTGCTAGAAAGTGAATTGCCTTTGAAGAAGATGGCAACCATTTGACAAGCAGTAAAATCACTCTCAAGTAGAAGAAATGATTCAAACATCAGCCTCTGGAGATTTGAAATGCAACTGATCAAAGCCTTCCCAAATTGCCAGTTTCAGTCAGAAAGCCCTTCCTGCTCTACCCTACCCTCAGTGGCCCTGGTAAGGTACAGATACAGTGAGCACTGTTGCAAAAGAAGGAATTAGCAGTTTGCAAGGATCTAAAGTGTCTTTTTAATTTCCGGCATTGCTTTCTTGTCAGATTCATTGACGTTCCCCACTGGACTTGGAACCATTTTCTGGGGGTCTTTCTTACCCTGCAAATAGCAAAACCTGCCTTCAATGATTGGGAAGATCCTGCTGGTATGATTACATTTTTTATTGTTAATAATAGTGACCTTTAAAAAAAGGACTTGCCCAAAATGGATGCCTGTAATAGAAACAACAGTGTGTTATTTCAACTGAATTTGGTTCTGTAATTGTTAATACTTTGTTTGCTTCTTAATCATGCTACTTCTTTCTACCTCATCAAACCTAAATTACTGTGCCACTGGTTTGATGATTAGCATTGCTACACTGTCAGGTAGGGGACAGAGTCCCAGTACAATAATTATCATTCTCCGCACTCACCACAGTGAGAAAACTGGTTTGTTCATGAATTCAGCGTATATTATCTGAAATAACAAAAACCTGATAATGATCCAATTCCTGCCTTAACTCTCTTAATTTCATAGAATTGCAGACATTTACAGTCCAGAAGGGAGTCATTTCAGTCCATTGTCTCTATGCCAACAAGCAAGCAGGTAGCCATTATCCATAATAATTCTGTGAGTCAAACTAATCCCACATTCCAGTTCTTGGTCAGCAAGATCAGGCACTTCCAAGCACATTCCAAAATAACGCTGTGGCAGGAAATGAATTCCAAGCCCTATCACTTCTCCGCAATTCCCTTCTAATACTTCTATTAATTATTTTAAATCTTTGGCTGTGTTTATTGACCTCCCTCCTAACAGAATAAGATTCTTTTAGTCCAGTCCAATTAGGTACCTCATAATTTTACATACAATTAAATCTTTCGTCAACTTCCTATCTTCCAAAAAAATCCAACACAAACCTAGTCAATCTTTGCTCATACCTAAAAATTTTTGTTTCCTAATGGCATCTTTGTAAATCTCCTCTTTACTTGCTCTGGTGAGGACAACCTTCCTGTAACATAGTGATCAGAACTGTATGTGGTACAGTATTCTAGCTGTGGTCTAGCACTTATGGCGGTCTATATATTTCTAGCACAGCCTTTCTGTTCTTATATGCTATGCCTCAGCATATAAAGGAGAAGAATTCATATTCCATGTGTACCATTTTGTCCACTTGTCCGGCTACCATCAGGATTGTATAGAGTGGTGTTCCAAGGTCTCTATAGTTTTCTCAACATTCTGGTATTTATTATGTGTGTTCCTTAGCCTATTTACCATCCCAACTGCAATACCTCTCATTTCTCCAATTTGACACATCTCTATTGACCTGACAAGTCCTTTGGTATTTCCTCGCAGTCTACAGATGACATGGCTAATTTTTAATTCATCTGAAAACCCTTAATCACATTCTTACATTTCAGTTTGAATTATTGATATATAATATTGAAAATCAAGATGCCTCATTCTGTGGAAACCCCACAGGAAAGGAGCCTTCCTATCACAGAATCATCCAATAATCATCTTTTATTTCCTTTCCTGAGGCAATTTTCGATCCAAATTGTCACTTTTCCTTGGATTCTGTGGGTTTTACTTTTCTAATCAATCTGCTAACCTCATTAAAATCCTTGTTCAAATTCACATAGACTGCATCACATGTGCTATTCTCAAAAATCCTCCTTGTTACCTCCCCAGAACATTTCAGTTAAGTTAGTTAGAAAGAACCTTTCCTGTTCTAGATTAATCCAGGTCTTTCTAAATAATGATCAATGCTATCGCTCAGAATTTTCCCAATAACTTGTCCATTGTTGAGATTGGGATGACTGAACTCCAATTATCCTTTGTCCTTTCTTTTACATAATGCTCCAAATGTTCTGGCACCTTGCCCATAGCCAGAGAGAATGAGAAAATGATGATCAGGGTTTCTATTATTTCCACCCTAGGTTTAAGCAGCAGAATGCATCTGAAAAGTATCATTGCAACTGTGTTGCACTGCCTTTGACAACTAATCAATCAGAGCACTGAACACTTCACTAATTAAGCATTAAACTTAAAACAAGTTCCCACACAGTCCAAAATTTACTTTGAACAATTTTCATGTCGGCAGAGTGCCAATGAACCAGTCAGCTATTTTCTAAAAAGTAAAAGAGGTTGGAGTCGTATACAGTAGCTCAGCAATTTTTTGCTTGTTATTGGCCGGTAAATACATTCATTTGTGGGATTCACTATTTAAGAAAGAAATAGATTAGTAGACACTAAAGACATCAAAGCATATAGAGAAAGAGCAGGAGAACGGTGCTAAGATACAGGATCAGCCATGATCGCATTGAGTGTTGGAGCAAGCTCAATGGGCCTTATGACCTAATTCTGCTCCCATTTTCTATGTTTCTATGATAAATGTAATTTCATTTATAAATTGGAAGCAGTTGGATCTGTTTTAATCTATGACTGTGTTCAATGAGACTGACAGTCTGGAAACTCAACAGTTCTTACCTTGGGCCCAATTGGTCCTGGTGAGCCTGCAGGCCCTGGCAGTCCATGGGGGCCTGGTAACCCTGCTCTCCCCTTCAAAATAAATATTAAATAACTAGTCAGATTTCTTGATTTGAAACAAAGTCAAGAAAAAATAGTCACACTAAAAGCTTTGAGTGCACACCTTTCACTTTGAATGAACAACTTTCAATAGTTAAGAATCAATTGTGTGAGTGTGTGTGTTTACTAAACAGAGAATGTATCAAGCTAAGTGCAAATAATCATAACAAACCTATTCAGACATATTATGAGATACCTCTGGGGCAGGTGAAACTTGACGTGTACCATCTAGTTCAGAGATAACAACATAACCATTGTACCATAAAAGCCCCTTCATGCTAAGTGTAACATTGTTGCAAAAAGTCAGCAATTCATGCCCATTAGCTGTGAGGTAAATAGAATGCTGAATTATACTGCTAATTCAATAAGACACAAGTTAAATGATCTTGTGGTAAAACCATACAATGTTCTGTCAGATTGTAATTTGAACGTGGTGTCCAGTTTTAAGACACGTGGAAATTATTCACCGTTGAAGATGGTGTAGAAAAATCCACAAGACTGGTTCCTGCAAATTTTGCAATTTTTTTTGAGTGAAGAGGGAGTTGTATCGAGTTCTCTGGCGTGATTTTTCTCATAAGGCCGAGTGAGTTTTCGATTTGATTCTTACCAAGCTTGTTGCATTAGTTGGTGTTTCAGCGCTCATGGTGAGAACCATGTTTGATTTCCATCTAATCTTACCATGCGCCATTCACAGAGAAGCTTATCGCTCAGCGGAGATATTCCCTAAGACCAGCATCCATCTGCACTTTCTTCCAAAACCCATATGGCACCTGCAAGTGTGCTGGCATCTGGAAGCTGTGCTGCTTGGCTGTGGAAGGTGTCAGGAAAGATGGTGGAGAATGGTGGCAAATTTCTCTGAGAGGGCCCTGGAAGTCCTTGATGAAGGAAGGATCGAGCGGAATCTTCTTCCCAAAGGTCTGGCAGCGGTGGCTACGCCACCAGTCCATGCCAGCCTGGTTGGAGATCATCACCCAGGTCACTGCTAGCTCCAAAGTGAGAAGCACTGGGGAGCAGTGCAGGAAGGTCAATGATCTTCTCAGCTTTGCCAGGGTAAAATTCTGTTCTCTGCTCCCTCACTTTCTATCCCTGCAACTGTACCCACCTCCAACAAACAGTCATGCTCTGACACTCTCTGTTGCATGTAATACATTCCCTCACTCACTTTCGCTGACCCCTCCCCATTCTCCCATACCACTAACTTGTGTCTTACACATTCAGACCCTTTGTGTCATTAAGGAGAAGACATCCCACAACAGGGCAGAGCAACATAGGACAGGGAGGTGGGGTGCTGGGTATCTATGTCCTCACACCCTCTGAGGAAAACATACTCGCTCTAGAAGCAAAGGACAGGGACTGCTCCTGAGGGGATGGGGAGACATCCATAACCTCAAAACTGAGAAAGTAATACTTGTCACCCCCTCAACTGTCACATTAACTAGGCATCGGACACCACACTAACCAACGGCCACGGTGCCTTCTGCCTCTTGTGTCTTGCAGGTGGACTCATGCTCCCAAGATGCAGGCTACCTCCCCAGAGACAGTGCAAACACATTGGAGGGTCCATCTTCTAACCTGCCTCTAGTTGAGGACTGTCAGAGACCAGGCACCTGCTCAGCCCCCAACAGGACAGTGCCCTGTGGTATAAAACGATGAGGCACTTCATTCGGCAGCAACAGGCAGGTATCCAGGAGACATGGACCCTGATCGCTGAGGAGCTAGAGCGATGCAGCCGGTCCTGCGACTGTCTGACTGTCTGTCTCAAGGATAGGTTGGCAGCTGCTATGGAGTGCCAGGCGTGCACCCTCAGGGACCACTGGAGAGTCAACAGTATACCGGCACTCCATCAGCCCATGCACTGGTCCTCAAGACCAAAATTAGGGTGAAAGGGGGAGGATGAAGCTTTGACCCTAATCCAGATGGACCCTTCACATGGTGATATCACAAGGCACCCAGCTGGAGGAGGAGGGCCCCTCAATAGTCTCCAATCACTGTGGAGGTGACCAGGCCCTCCACCTCCACACTGCCTCCCACCAATCCCCTCCCTTCAACTGTTGGATGTTCCAAATGAGGAGGTCAACTTTCCTTGGACAAGACCACCTTCAGCATGTCTGACCTATCCAAATACAAATACCCCGTGGGGTCACCTGACCAAATCTCCAGGGCCAACAAGTTCCTGTGCAGTGCAGGGTCCTTCCACATCATCTGCAGTGCCGGGTAGCTCAGTGCATCACAGCGGGATGGAGGGGAGGAAAAGCAAGACCAATGGCTTGTGGGTACAATAGCTGGCAATGTTCTGTAAGCAGTTTGCTTTCCACACATTCCTTCGCACACAATGATACGTAATTTTTAAAAAATTTTACTTGCGTTTCACGTTCATGTGCTTGGCCCTGTCTCTGTGTTGGCTCTAGATGCTCCTTTGTACCCTATGGCATCACTCCATGGGTATTAACAAGGCACAATGGTTGGGGCTATGTGATGAGCACTCAAATGCATAAATGTGGGATCTGGGTAATAATGTGTGTGCATGGCATTGACTCAATCTGACAATTATTCACCTGCCCCCTCATCATTACCCACAGTTTGGCTGGCAGAAGCCTACATCTGAGGGACAGTGATAGCAGTGACAGTGACAGTAGTAACAGGGAGGTGTAGCACACTAATGATCAATATTGTAGGATGGGCAGGGAGTATGGACCCTACATGCCTCTGTTGCTAAGGTATCATGTGCTCAGGCCAATGTTGTTCCCACTTGAGTGCCCAGTGACTGGTTGCAAATACAGGCCCCTCCCTCACAAGTTGTCTCACTTATGGCAGCCATTGCAAGGCATTTTGTGGCCTGTCTCCACAACATTGTGTTCTGTCCATGTGTATCATGATTGGAATGACAACGAGTGCATTTGTTTTGTCAGTGTTTTCCAGCCTTGGTGTTAACACTTTGTTGAGACCCCCACCATCAGCCTCTCCTTTCTCGGTGCCATTCTGTTAACACCACAGACTTCACATTTCTCCAGATCATCGGCATGTACATATGCCTGCAATTGCCTATCTGTGGCCCGCACTTCCCACAGATCCTCTGCCTTTCTGTTGGTTCAAGTGACAGGAATGACTATGCTGACCCTTTCACGTGACCAGACCCTGTCAGTATCTGCTCTCACCTGCTCAGACCCCTGGTTGGTGGGCACACATGTGCCACAACTCCTGGATTGGAGTTGAAGGCAAAGGGCTGACTGTGATTGGCTCCCTGTTCAATGCCACCCCGACTGGATGCCAAACCATGGACGAAGCACGGGACTGGTATGGGACGCTGCCATTGACTGACTGTGATGGACTCCCCTGACTGATGGATGTCCCCATGGACTTTGTGGCAGGCTACTTCTTTCAGACTTTTGGACATCTTGAACTACTTGCTGTGAACACACTGCGCTTGATGTGAACACTGAGGCCATACAATATGGGTGCTAGGGTGACACGGCACACTGACATACGTTCCCTTGACTGTGGGCTGCTGTACAGCATGGCCACCTGCCTTTTTGTATGGCTGCACCGACTGTCAAAGCAAGTCAAGGCAGGGCAAGCATGCTGTGAGCGTGCCAGTAGGCACTAGGTGAATTTGTGCTGAAAGAGAACACGGCAGCAACTCTAGTAGATAGCCTGGATCACTGTGTAATGGGTTCCTGTCCCTGTGTGGGGTCTATACCCAATATATTGCTGGTGTGCCCTGCTAGACCAATCCACCCTTGGATGGCACGCTGCCAGTGCATTGGAGGAATCAGGATGTTGGCAATGCTTCCCTGCAAGTGGAGTGCCAATATCTATGATAGATGGCTACATGTTGCAGGTGGCTCTGCAGTTTGGCAGTGGGCATGATGGAGGTTGTTCAGAGGAGGTCACATGTTGAACCCGCTATGAGCCCACTCTTGTTTCCATGTCGGGTTTTCCTGACAGCTAGTTCATCTGACGAGTTTAGTAAGATCCCATCCCATGGCAAATTGAGGTGTTAACAAGACATTTAATAATGATAAATGCCAATTGGTAACTCACTGGTGCCTAGCAAGGATATCACCTCACCACTTGAGAAAACAGTGTACAAGATACATTGTGATGATCTGGATATCAAGATAGGCCTCACTGAACATCTCACCATAGCTCACATCACTCAGAGCATGGGATGTTTCTGCCAATTAAGGTTGATTCATTGTTCATTAATTGAATAAATTCTACAAAATGATGCCGAGCCAATTTACAAAATGAAAATTCAAGCAAAAATGAAATGTGGAGCAGCATTAATAATTGGGAGTTCTGCATTCCACACTTTGCTTTATAATTTAAGAGGAGAATGGGATAATAACTTCAGCAGCATTAGGTGAAGCATTAATACAACATCACAGCATATTTTATCTTTGATCATTTTTAATTTCCAGTGATAGAGGGACCACAAAAATGATGAAAAATATTGGTGTTGGCTTTGGCCATACTCACTTTTCTTCCTGGCCTTCCAATTTCTCCCTAAAACAGACAGAAATACACATGGTTCATACACATTTCTTGCTCTGAATTTGCTAAGTGATGTCTGTAACAATGTACATTCCAGAAGGCTGAGCATAACAAGCTCAGACAGAACATATGTCATGATACTTACGTTCTCACCTTTTGGTCCCCTAATCCCTGGAATTCCTGGTGGACCCTGTCAATTAAAATAAGGGCATCATGACATTCTGATCAATTTTCAGATACGAGGGAAATATCACACACAACACCTGTATGTTTAAAAACCAAAAGAACTGCGGATGTTGTCAATCAGGAACAAAAACGGAAGTTGCTGGAAAAGCTCAGCAGGTCTGGCAGCATCTGTGAAGGAAAATCAGACTTAACGTTTCGAGTCCGGCTTCTGAGGAAGGTTCACTGGACCCGAAACATTAACTCTGATTTTTTTCTTCACAGATGCTGCCAGACCTGCTGAGCATTTCCAGCAACTTTGTTTTTGAACCTGAATGCTTAACTTTTCAAAATCTATTAGTTTATTTTATTTGAACTATAATAATCACATTTGGGCTAATTTTTACTAGAAAGAAATGTGAAGTGAAAGGAATGTTAAGACCTATACTATCTGACAGCTGAATACAGCAATGGTTACTAATAAAAGTAAAGTTTGTTGTGTTAACAAGGGCACCAAATTTCTGGGAATTCTCAAAATGCAAAGGAGCAGCATACACATCTTGCCTATAGAGACACTGAAGACCCCAGTTCCAAGATTGTAGACCATTTGCAAGATTCCCATATCTGTACATGCATATTGGAAGTGTTTGTCTGGACAAAAAGAATGGAAGTTAGAGTCGTGTCTCATCAGGTCCAGATCCTCACTGATTTTGAGCATGAGGTTAAACACAGGAACAAGAGTGGCTCTTTACCTCTTTGAGTCTATTGCACCGTACAATGTTTCCAGGGCAGTTTTTTCAGTATTTTCTCCAGTTTTAAGGCAAAAACCATTCCAGTTAATTGGTTAAACCATCTTGTCAGTTTCCATGAACACATAAGAATTACACTTCAACGTTTGTTCTCGGGCAAGTTAATTACCTGACAGTTTCCTTGTAATTTCACAATTTAACAATTTCCTTGTTATACCTGTAGAAATATTATCATCAATCCAAATAATTTCCTCTAGATTTTCAGCACCAAAGACAATGAGCCAAGTCTATAATTTAAAATTCTGCATTATCCTTTAATTTTAACCTCTTTGAGACTTGGACTGAAGCAGCAACTAACTGAATGGGCTTAATTACAAGCTGACATAATCATATCTCCTTATTAGTACTTACTGCTTTCCAATGATCATCCTCTGTCCATTATTTAACATTAATCTGTTTTTAAGAAATCCACTGAATCAACATGGCAAGGGCCATGCCCATATGTGGTCCAGATTTTTGTTATTGAGGTGAGATGCTTACAGAGGGAAATCTTCCAAACTCAGCAGACCACTTATGGAAATGACCTCTGACTGCATGATTTTCCATGGGAGTGGAGGCATGGGATTTGGAAGCAGCGACAGAGGTGGAAGAGAGGAAGAATGCTGTAGTGAGCATTCAGGTCATTTGTATAAAGCTGATAGGCCCTCACATCCCACATGCAACCCCGATATCACCTCTATAGTTACTTACCCAGTATCCACTATGGGCAGACTTAAGAGACAGATGAGGATGAAATCAAATTAAACTTCAATTTACTACTCTGCAAAAATCTGGCCTGACTACTAACATCAGTGATTTTTTGACTTGCCTGATTTAAATTATTTTAAAATTGTGTCTTTGAAAATATAAAATCTGGAAATTTGTAAGAATTTATTCCTGGAATAGGGGCATCATAAAAAAAGCCAGCATTTATTGCCCAGTCCTAATTGCATTAGAGACGGTGGCAGTAGACATTGACTTGACCTACTGATGTTGCTATAGTGAAAATATACCCACAGTGCTGTTAGGTAAGGAGTTTCAGAATCTTGACCCAGTCATGATGAAGGACTGGTGACATACTTTCAAGTCAGGATTCTGTCATGATAGACTTGGGAAAATATACTGATACTTGAGCTCCACTGCTCCGAGGGTCATCACAAAAGTTAAAGATTCACTCAAAATATTCAAATTCCCCAAGTTTCCTGCCTGATGACCTCATGTTAACCAAGAACACTGAGCAGGCTCCTACACTTAGCAAGAAACTACTACTTATTGTGAATAAATCAGTGCTAATCACAGGAAAAGAAAATATGAATGATCAACCCGCAACACTCTAACTGAAACTCTACCCCTTCTTAAACCCTACACATATATAGAGACACAGGGACAAACCAAAAATATTGATGTTATGTGTAGAGAATAAAATATTAGGAGAACACAACTCAATAGCACCAATCCACAGGATTCAATGAGGTGTCCTTTTGCTTCTTATGAGTTTTTCTGATCTCCAATCTTCTTTGTTCCAAGTCCTCTCAGTTCTGTACTGAAGACAGGGCAGTTGGCACACTAACTTTTCAGTCTCTCACTGGTTAAAAGCAGCAGCTTATAGTCAAATGGCAAGTCAAAATACCTAGCTATCTTCATTTTTTGATATTTCTTTGTAAAGAAAGAGAGGATGTTCACTTTTCAGAGGCTTTCTGCCATTGTATAATTCACACACAAGTTGTCTGTTATGTTGAACATCCTTGACCAACAACAACAGGTTGTTATTTTAAAATAAGTCAACAGACTGACTCTGGGCAAAACTGCTCTGAACGCACCCTTACTGTCAAGGATTGTCTTGCTGATTATAAATCTGTCTATCTCAGCCTTCTACGTAATGAACACCCCAACCTCAACAGCCCTCTGCAATAAAGAATTCCACAGATTCACTACCATCAGAGAAGAAATTCACTAAATGTCTTAAGTAGCCAACCCCTTACTCTGAGATTATACCCACTGGTCCTAGGATCTCCTACAACGGTAAAAAGAACTCTCTGCATCTACACTATATAACCCTCAAAGGAGGTTGTATATTTTATTAAGATTTCCTGTCATTTTTCTAAATCTCAATGAATACAAGCCCAGCCGAGTCAACATCTCCTCATAAGAAAATCCTTCAAAATCTGGGATCAACCCAGTGAACTTTCTCTGGACTGCCTACAATGCCAATGTATCTTTCCCTAGATAAGGGGAACAAAACTGTTGACAGTATTCCATTTCATTGCAGTTAAATAGCAAAATCTACAGTTATTTGGAAAGTAAAGGCGCATTTAAAATGATAAAGGCTGAGGAGCCTGGAGTCACAAACTGAAGATAACCTAGCACCACCACTGGCAGGAGAGTGTAATTAAAATACAATGCAAAAAGATAATCTTTTGCTCATTACACTCCATATGCAGCACCTCAGGAAATCATAGACAGATTTTTAAAAAAAATTCATACAAACTTAAAGGTTGCATTATTGTTAGAGAATTCATCCTTTGACTTCTGAACCAATGATTACTTAATGAAACTGTCATCATATGGACATCAACACCTAGAAATACTATGTATTTAGTGCATACCATCACACAACACATTAGCCCTTTGGGCTCCGTCCCCAAATATCAAGACACAAAATATTTTACATGTAAATTGTTCAGCAAAAGACACTAACAAAATCTCATTTTTAATGTGGTTACAGCATCAGGGAAAATTCCTGCATTGGAAATTTATGGTGGGAAAAATTTCATTGCATATGATTTACTTCATTGCAGAAATACTGTTCATATCCTGCTCTTTTATTCTTTCAGGTCCTAATTCTTTCCTTCAGATTCTCCATACATGAACATATATCATAAAGTCATTATTATTCATGTTGATGTTTTCACAGTGCTCTGTGTATATCATTTTCATTTTACTGTTTATATCAAATATTCTCAAAGTCTTCAAGCAGTAATTGCAGTTACTGCAAAAAGCCTCAAACTTTTAATGATTGAGTTGTTCATCTAAGTCCTTCATGAAAGAGAAGTGTATAATATTCGCATAAAGTTTCCTTACTGATGAACAGAAATGTTGAATTAGTTTTGGTACCTTTGACATTTAAGTAACTTTAAACACAGGGTCCTGTTTCATTTTTTAAATTATTGTGCAGAAGTGAAAGAAAGACCAGATCCTAAATCTGGGTTGTGGGTTAGTGAAGCAAAGTTCACTCATCAACCTTCAGTCAGTTTGTAAACACGTCAATTTCCACCAATTGTACATTTTAAACCCAGGAGGTCCAAGCACCCCCACTGTTCCTTGATAGGCCGCTTTAATATTGGATTGAATATGTGGATTTAACCTCCGTACTGCAAACATCTCCAAATAGAACTGATAATTTTAAAGCAACTACTACAATTGTCTGACATTGTGCAATTTTGATATGATTTAATAATATTGAATAACATTGATTTCAAATTATCAAAAAGATTACCATCTTCACTTGCTAACAAAAAAAAATCTGCCTGGGACTGAGGTAGAGAAAAGGGCTCAGTGAAGCTGAAATCAAATACCTGCAAATTGCACTATTTTTAAATATAGCAGTACAAATTCTAGCTGAGACCAGCAAAGTTTGGGATCTTGAAGTTTATCCAAAAGTATCTATTAAGCTTACCAGGGGGCCTGGTGGTCCAGGAGGTCCAACTGATACTTTACATGAAGATTCAGTTGTCTTTATTTCCAACGGTAAACTCTTCAAATTTATTTCTTCTTGCTAAGAAATAAAAAAATGACAGAAAATGTCATAAATAAATTAATTTATTCATTCAAGAAATGATTAGTCTAGTTACTCAAAGGTCATCCATTGCAATAACCACTTATAAAAATTAGGATTGAAGTACATGGTGCAACACAGTGTAAATTTAAGGGGGAAGGGTGAGATCAGAAGCAGAGTTCTTTCCAAGAACTTTCCAACTCTTCTAAGTAATGAACCCAAGTTTAAAATTGACTCAATATGCATACAATTCTTCCTGTGTGTCACTCAAACAATTCAAAACTCCCAAGTACAATAACACGAAACAAACACAGAATGTTGGAGAATCTCAACAGGTCTAGCAGCATCTGTGGAGAGAGAAACAGAGTTAATGTTTTGAGTCCAGTATGACTCTCCTCTGTTTTGAAGAACTGTCATACCATAAGAAGCAGACCTACTGAATTTCTCCAGCATTCTGTGTTTTTCTTCAATTTCCAGCATTTGCAGTATTTGCCTTTATTTGGGACAATGATAGAAAACTTTGACTTGCTGCTAATTAAGACACCAAGCTAAAGGCATTGCAGCACTGGGGACTAGCAGATTGAGAAAGGGAAGGGGAACAGGCAAGGAAAAATAAAGAGAAAGTGGTTAGATCAACAGTCATTGGTTTATGGCCATGGATGTGACTAAATCACCCACACAAACAAAATGCTTACGAGTCCCTGTTCAGTGCTTGCTGTCAAAAAATGACCAGTTAAGGTAAACTTTGTTCAACATGGCCTACTCTTCACAGACTGATACAAAGTATTGCCTTATAGAGAAATAAGTATAATGGAATCCTAAATAGGAACCTCAATACAAGAAAATGTGGATTTCAAAATACATCCACACTTTTCAGATGACCCAGCTTGTAAATACACTATCTAGAGCGGATGTAGATCATACAGGGTCGAAGGTTAACTATTAATCCATGCTGAGTTCTCTCTTCCCTGCATTAACTAGCAGTGAGGACTTTTCTCTCTCTAATGAGAGGGCAGCTCTATGGTCTGGTAAGACTATGGAAACTTTATCTTTTATATTGGTGCTTAACAGAACTTTGAAAGTATGCTATTCAAACAGCTGTAATGATTTTTTTAGTTCCAAACTTTAGTTATACCTTTGAATTCTGAGTCCATGCAGATCACATAAAGCCACATATAATCAGGATAATGTGTGTATCTAACATAGCAGAGCATTGCTGAAAGTCTTCAGGTAGATCCAGTGATCATTCATTTTAAAGCTCTATTCTCTTAACATGTTGAAAAAAAATGTTACAGTACAATGTCGAAACTCTGCTAGAGAGGATAATGTAGCAGTTTTATCCCTATAAACAATGTGTTTAGAGCATCCAGTAGCAAATTTACACTTGAATGTAAACATTTCAATGTGGTTTTAGAAATTTATATCACAAACTCGATCTTTTACCAATCATTGGAAATCCAGGTGTAAAGGTCAGCAGGCGCTGCAAGATATACCATATGAAGACTTCCATATATACAGTGTTTTTCACAACCACCAAACACTCCAAGTATTTTACAGCCAATGATGTGCTGATTGGGTAGTCACTGAATAATGTCGGAAATCCAGAAGCCAAATTGAGCAGAGCAAACTCCTACAAACTGCAGTGTAATAACTGTTGTAATAAAGTGTAAGGGTGTAAAAGGGTTAATATTGAGGAATGTCTTAAAAACGTCTGCTACAATAATATTGTATGGGCAGAACAGCTTACAGTCACAAAGGAGTGAGGTTTAAATTCGGGTCCTCCTCATAGTCACTGCAATGATGTCTTTTATATCATTGTAACTTGTAACACTCTGCTGTGCTAGATGCACACAATAGGCTAATCATACTTGCCTTTATATAATCTAGATAGATTCTCAGAACTGTAGGCTTTCATTAATGGAATGCAATAACCTATTCTGGTTCAATACAAGGGCATCCTCTAGTGAGACCCATAAGTGACTTTCCTCTACCACAATAGACCAAGCAGGCTCCATAGATCTCTACACTTAGAGGATGGTGTTGTGTGGACTTGGTTTAACTTCACATATAACAACAACTGAATAAATATTGACAAGGTCATTGAAGATAACACCCTGCAGTTCTTTAAATCAATAGCAGAGGATCTTTTACTTAGCAGACTGATGGGACAACGATGGCATCCAAAAAGTAGCACCTCTGACAGCGCAGCTTCCCTCAGTACAACACTAGACTGTCAACTAACATTTCAGTGCCCAAGAACTGGAGTGAGATTTGAACCTGGAACCTTAGGTGGAATTTTTCCTTCCTTGGTAAGTTCAGCCCCTTGTGTTCAGGGGTGAGGATACTACCAAGTGAGCCGCAGCCAACGTTTCAATAGGTAGTAGAAATATTGCACGGCCAACTGAGTTTCTCATGCTTAAATCGATCTTATAAGCTAAAATGAGTGAATTCTATCCTTCTGTACTTTATCTTGTGCTATACAGTCTTGATTTGTGCTATTTAAATACTCCTAGTTGCATGCTATCTTGATTCAGATAACATTTTCATGAGCTATCATAAAAACAAATGTTTAAACACAGGTTTACATCAGTATATGATAAAGTGGATGCTTATCTTTAATGTGCTAACTTTAATAATTCAGTATTGAAAGCTACTATCCTGTTCAGTTTAGTCTTGGTGTCTGGGGTCTTACCAATTTTGAAGCATCAATATAGGGTTACAGTGGAGTCAGATTTAGGAAGCATTGATGTTAAGAGAAGCTGCCTCCTCCTTCTCAGTCTAGGTGCTCAATCACTTTCAGTCATAAAGGAAAGAAGTGCTGGTGCATTTCAAAATGCTACTGATTTTAAGTTGCAAAACTCCCTAAGTTAGCTAGTGTTTAAACTGTATTTATTCTTTCTCTCTGCATTGAACATTAACCACAGTTCAGTATCTCTCAGCTACTTCAGGTTTCCCATCGTTTGCATTGATTTCCTACATTCAATTCATTCAAAACAGTCATATTTCCAGTAACAAGTTTTGAAGTAACCCAGTCAGTGCATCTCTCACTCCATTGTAACTGCTGGTCACTACCAGATAAAAATATCTAAAAATACTTAGAAGAATCCATTTAAACACTGCACTATAAACAGGAACCTGGCGGTATCTCCAAGCCAATGAAACTAGGTAAAATCACTCATATGAGTATAATTCACATATTCAACTGCAACAGGAGACAAAAGACTTTTAAACCTATAACATGTAACTGAAGCTGGTAAACAGGCTGAACCAAGAAATCCTACGTCAACAGGGAAAAATGGCTACACAAAAACAAAGATATTTTCAGTGCCCAATTAAATGCTAGCAGGTAGAATAATTTGCCTTCATGTAAGATTTAAACCTGGTTTTCCTGAGTCTCACCCTGTGTCAGTCTCTAGCCTGACTTTTTGGCCAGTTTTGGACTTGTCAAAGGATGGCTGTTGTATATTTTACATCTCTGAGCTACACAGACATAATATATCGGTTTCTTTGTGTAGGACCTCTATTTTAAAAAAAATGCCTGCTCCAAGCTTACAAGTTTTAGCTTACAACAACTGCTTGGTTTATAGACGTTTCCTCTAGCCCACACCCTGGCTTAACAAATTAAGTATATTAATCGCCAATATAAACAGACTCAAGTAGTCCAACACAAAACAGAGCCAATTTATGTTTCATGATATTCCATGGTGCTCTGTAATAAGTGCTGGACAATATCCAACAGCAGTTCCCTGCCTCCAGAAATGTAAATGATCTTCCAATGGAATAGTACCACATATTAGGGAGAGGGGAGTCAGTTCAGTTCAATTGGCTGGACAGCTGGTTTGTGATGCATATTGACACTAACAGCATGGGTTCAGTTCACGCACTGGCTGAGGTTACCATGAAGGGGTCTCCTTCTCAACCTCTCTCCTTGCCTGAGATATGGTGACCATCAGGTTAAACCACCACCAGTGTCAGTCTCCAATGAAAGTAATCCTATGGTCTGTAAGACTATTGCAACTTTACCTTACGCACTACCTGAATACCCAGCAGAACAATCGAAAATTAAATGTAATTTCTCTTCTTAGGAGTGGAGCTAATCACACAATGCATTGAGTGTGATTCAGCAAAGATATTTTAGAGTACTAGAGGGGGCAGAACACAACTTTGAGATTTGTCACTCTCAGGTGACAACAAATAACTCATAGTGGAGAATCATTCAGTGCTACACCAGATTGGCACCTTTCTATCTTTCCTGATATAAACTCAGAGAATATTATGGTTATAACATGGTCCCCAGTAGGATCTCAGCTGGGCTTGAGTATTTCAATCAGATCAAACATGCTGTCACTAAAACCCCTTAAAAGCTACTTGCAGCTTTTTTGGCTTAAAATGAAATGTTAGTTTTAGAATATGACACAGGGAATTATTATATAATAGCCAGCCTATTTGAATATTTATAATTTGTTAATATAAAATAGACAGTCTGTGACTTTGCATATTTCCCAGACATAGCGTGACATGGCACACTAATTTGATGAACCCATGTCAAATTTTACTTATGACTTTAGTTTGTTTCTTTCCTGAAGATCCTGACTCAAAGTATGACACCAGCAAACCATTGTAATTTTATATAAGACTTTTCTTTATGCTTAAACCTAAACAATACCTGTTGAGAGGCAATTTGGCTACAGCATCATTACAGCTGAGCTGTGCTTTCTTCTCTCTTGCCAGGAATACTAAGTATTTGCTGATTGCTTATAAACCATGCAGCAAATATGAGACTCTTGTAACATGTTTAGCTCAGTTCCACAGCAGGATATTCAGTACTTTATTGTCATGAGACGTTTGCTTATAACGTTACTATATAAGTCAATATAATTATGTACAATTGAAATTGGCTGAACAGCAACAAGAAATGACACACCACAATTTGTACTGAATGTACAAAGCAAACAGCATTTCACAACCTGTTGCAGCAATACTTCTCTTCAGAATGTGTATAATCTAACATTGGAATTTGTAGCAATATTTCAGCAGCTGCCATTTGATAGACCCCGTGTAACTGACGAAAATTGCAAAGGTCATTCCAAAGCTTAAACAAACAGCAAAATAGCAGGCAGTTAAAGGCAGAAACTATATTTGCGGTTAGCATCAATGATAGCAGGATGGGTATGACACAAAGGAACTTGGTGGTACTCACAAGACTTTTGCTTTCCCTGAAAATAGGTGGTGGAAACATCGGAGGTGGTGGAGGGGTCAGCAGACAACACTTGTTAGTGCTTCTCTTTTTGTGTTCCACAGGCCCCAGTGCTGCATCACAAAAGAAATGCAATCAGACAATCAGGCATCACTCTTTTGCTGTTACAATTACAGCTTGATATTTGCAGTTTAAGAAATGGGCATCTCAAAAATTGGAGCAAAGCTGATGAGCCTAAAATAAATATCGACTCAATATTTCCATTTTAGACAAGAGAATCTGAATATTACATAAATGTTAAAGCTGATCTCGTATTGATTGATGCATTAAGAATTTAAATGGTATAGTAGCCAGAAACACAATTCTACAGAGGAGTATTGATTCACAGTAATAGAGTTATACAGCACAGAAACAGTCCCTTCAGTCCAACACACTGACCAGATATCCTAAGTTAATCTAGTCCCATTTGCCAGCATTTGGCCAATATCCCTCTAAACCCTTCCTATTCATGGACCCATCCAGATGCCTTTTAAACGTTGTAATAGTATCTGTTTCCACCATTCCCTCTGGCAGCTCATTCAAGACACGCACCATCCTCTGTGTGAAAAAGTTGTCCCTTAGGTCCCTTTTAAATCTTTCCCCTCTCACCTTAAGCCTATGCCCTCTAGTTTTGGACTTCCCTACCATGGGAAAAAGACCTTGGTTATTCACCCTATCCATGTCCCTCATGATTTTTTTAAACCTTTAACAAGGTCACCTCTCAGCCTCCAATGCTCCTGGGAAACAAGCCTCTGCCTATTCAGTCCCTTCCGATAGCTCAAACCTCTAATCCCGACAACATCCTTGTAAATATTTTCCGACTCCTTCAAGTTTCACAACATCTTTCCTATAGCAGGGAGACCAGAACTGAACACAGTATCTTAAAAATGGCCTAACCAATGTCCTGTACAGCCGCAACATGATGTCCCAACTCCTATACTCAATGCACTGACCTATGAAGGCAAGGACGTGATTCGTATAAAATGAAGGATGTATTTGTTAACCCAAATGTTCAATTTCATTATAACAAGGTGTAGAGCTGAATGAACACAGCAGGCCAAGC